CCCTATCCCCCTGTCGTGACCCTTGCCTCCCACGACAATATTATTTTAAATAGAAGAATCAAGAGGGACGTACGTGAAAAATGAAAAAATAGTAAGAAAAAGTTAGAGGAGATGGGATCACAATATATCAATGTTGAATATTTTTTAATAATTCAAAAATTTATAGTTAAAAAAAAAAAAAAATTCAAGTATATCAAAAAAACAAAGAATAAATTTCATATATGCTGAATCATATTAAAAAAATATATAGTGTTATCATTAAAAAACCAATGTAATGTTAAAATAGTCATAAAAACTTTTAAAATATAAAAATTATAGTTAAAATACGCAAAGGCCAAAATTGGGTAGAAATAAAATTATTATTTTATTTTATTTTATTTTTATTATTAATACTAATATTATTATAAAAATAAAAATAATAAAAAAATGAATTATAAAAATTATGATTTTTATTAAAATAAAATAATAAGAGTAAATTATTATTATTATTATATTTTGATCCTATAAGGTAAGGCCATTGATCTTGAATACTAAAGAAAAATAATCTAAAAATAAAATAATAAAAAAAATAAATTATAAAAATTATGATTTTTATTAAAATAAAACAATAAGAGTAAATTATTATTATTATTATTATCCTATAAGCTAAAGCCCATTGATCTTGAATACTAAAGAAAAAATATTATTTTACTTTTTGATTCTTAAGTTAAATGAGAAATCAACTTTGTTTCTATCTTAATTTTGCCCTTAAATTTTGTCTCATAATAAGGAGTTCAAAAGATGCAATAATACACCTAGAAAACAGTAAAAGAAATCTATTATTATCATAAAAAAAACTATTATAATGTTAAAATATTCATAAAATACTAAAATACAACAAAATGCAGTTAAAATCATAGAAAGTTAAATTGAGATAGAAACAAAATTGATATAATCAAATATAAGACTCAAGGGAAAAAAAACACTTTTTTTCATTAGCATTTAAGATTCATGGGCTTTACCTTATACGATAAAAATGACTTATAAAATAAAAATAGTATTTTATAATAGAGGCATAATACAACTAGAAAATAGCAAGAGAAAGCTAGAATAGACAATAACATAAATAAATAACTTATAGACAATAAAAATAAAAAAATAATAAAAATAAAATAAAAATTTTATTAATAATAAGTAATAATATGGATTATTTTATTACTATGTTCAAATTTATAATAAAAAAATTTGAACTATTCAAGAATCTAAATCTTTAGTTTTTTTAATCTAATTGAGTTTCACCCCCTGTGATAGAGAGATCAAACCACTTATTTTCTATAAGAAAAAAAAATCATATTACAATTTGAAAAATATACTACTATTTTTATTACTATATTCACATTTATAATAAAAAATTAAAACTATTCAAAAATCTATATCCTTAGTTTTTTTTTATTCTAATTGAGTTTCACGCCTTGGGAGAGAGAGAACAAACCACTTATTTTCCATATGTAAAAAATTCATATTACAAATTAAAAAAATACTACAGATAGAGACAAACATCGTACCTTCTATTTTTCTCTTAGGAAAATATTTTCGAGCAAAAAACTCATTGTGAGAGACCAGTAAAGAAATGAACTTGAGAGAGAGATAAGGTAGGGCATGATAGGCTTTTGGGCTGGGGCCTAAGGGTTTATGGTGAGAGAGGTTTTTCCTAAAAATATATTTTGGGAGGAAGAGACTGAGAGAGAGAGAGAGATAGATTTAAAGGAGAAAGAGATGAGTGAAATAGGGGAAATACTTTATGAGAGATTTAAGATGGAAGTTACAATATAGAGGCGTTAATTGTAATTAATGACAAGTAATGCAAGTTAGAGAAAATAAAAAAGAGTAGCATGTAAAAAAATAGCTAATGTGGTAGGGAAAGAGATAATGCGTTTTTTTATTATAAGTTATTGGGAGTTGCTGCATGATAGAAAAAATAAAAAGATAGAGAGAAAAAAGGTTGAGAGACACCTTTGAGAGAAAAGAAAATAAATGGGAGAGAGATTTTAGGATAATAAATGGGAGAGAGATTTTAGGAAAGAGAGAGAGATAGAAATGGCACATAATATAAATAAGAGAGAGATAAGAGAGAATTTAGAAAGATATAAGATATTTTTTTAAAAAAAGGTAGGTGGGGGATTTATTAGGAAGAAGAAAAGATGAGGGGAAGGTATGAGAGGGAGAAGAAGAAGGAGAGAGAGAGGGAGAGGGACAGAGAGAGAAAGAGATAATCGTGGGTTGGGGCTGATTTATTAGGAAATATATTTTAAAAAATATGTAATACTTGTGGGTGGGGGAAAATATTTATTAAGGAAGAGAAAAAATAAGACACAAAATAAGGGGAAGATATTTAAAAAAAGTTGTAATAGAGAAAGAGTGAAGAGAGAACATCGTGCCGGTGGGGAAAAAAAGAGAAAAAATAGGACACAAAACAGAGGAAAGATATTTAAAGAATGTAATAGGGAGAGAGTGAAGAGAGAAAATCTTGTGGAGGGGGGAAGAAGATTTATTAAAGAAGAGAAAAACTGGCACACAAAACAAGATAAAGATATTTAAAGAAATGTGTAATAGGGAGAGTGTGAAGAGAGAAAATTGCGTAGGTGGGAAAAAGATTTATTAAAGAAGAGAAAAAATGGGACACAAAACAAATGGAAGATATTTAAAGATATGTGTAATAGGGAAAAAGTAAAGAGAGAAAATCGTGTGGGGCGAAGATTTATTAAAGGAAGAGAAAAAATGGAGAGAGTTGGCACAAAAATAGAGGGAGTATTCCTATGGCTTTAATATATAATAGATAGAGATTTGGGTATCGATTGTCATTCAAAAATAATAGCAAGTTGACAAATCAAGAGTGTATAACTATCAGAATTATAAGATACACAAACTACTCTGTGCGGAAATCAACATAAATACCCACCCGTAATAAAATGTACTGAATTTTACAAAACTAAGGGGAGAAGTTGAGCAATGGACTATTTAAGATAAGGTGCATGTCCTTTTTGGTCATTAAGAGAGAGAGAGAGAGAGAGGGAATATTAAGAAGAGTCCATTTGATGATACCTATTTACCAACCAGAATTAATTTTATGTGCAAGAATGGTCTCTACCAACTAGGCTGAATTTTATGTATAGATCTGGAGGTGGCAATAAATTTTAAAAGAGATTTTATTTTTTATTTTTTATTTTTTTTTCAAGTATGGTGGTATATCGTAGATAAACAAATCAATGAATCTCCAAACAGGTAATGTAAAATAATGAGGAGTTGGTTCCAGGGTCAGTGGATGTCGGTGAGAGATTTGGATCTTCTTACTCACGTTACACTCTATGCCTTGTCCTCTTCCCTTCCTTAGTTAGTGACCCATGATAAATAGAACTATTACTGGTCAACCAGTTTCAAATGACACAACACCTGATTTTTAAAATGCAAGGCATCTCTCTCTACAGTGACCCATGTTAGATAGGACTCCACTGGTTAAATTGTCAAATGACAGAAACACATGACTTTTAAAAATGCAAGGCCTCTCTCTCTCTCTCTCTCTCTCTCTCTCTCATGCACACACAAATGATACAACACCTCAACTGCAAGGCCTCTCTAACAAACAAATGACACAACACCTTAACTGCAGGCATCGCTCTGCTCTCTGGTGACTCATGATAAATAAATGTCCAATGGTTAATTAGTTTCAAATTACACCACCGGGCTTTGAAAATGCAAGCTCTCTCTCACGCACACACCATATTTAGGAAATGATACCGGAATGTCAATGTGTCCTAGAGCTTTTTCTAGGACCAAAAAACCTCATTAATACAAAAATATAGAGCCTAATTTGTACAACAGAAGGTAAATCTCTCTCTATTCCCACATTTCCCTCAGAAATTGAGAATTTGGGACTCTGAAATTTGAAGAGAGTTGCAGTCAAAGATCATTAGATTTCATGCAGAATAGGACACCGAGAGAGAGAGAGAGAGAGAGAATCTTGTCGATCCTTAACAAGAACCTGCCACATCTATCCATTTCCAAAACCAGTGGCAAGGTACTGTTAGTAAAATTCTTCAATCACTACAATTCAACATCAGCCTCATTTCAATCTCTCTCATAAAGACAAAAAGTAGATGTTTCTACATCTACAGCTAACCCTCAAATAGCAAGGCCAACGTGCTTGACTGGGAATCAACGGAAGAGTGATTCGCATTTTGCTCATCAAACCAATGGTGGGATGCATTTTCGCGTTTGAATTTACGCTCTTCCATTTTATCTTCTGCATTTTCTGCACAGTAATTTCTTCTTTCTAGCTTCATGGGTTTCTCAGCTACAGTAAACTTTTGCCCATCACGCCCTCTCTCCGGAAAGCCAGCCCAAACTGAAAATCCAACGTGGAAAATACAAGAAAGTTCATCAAGCCAAATAGAATGTTATATCTAGGGCTGCCAATGGGACACGTTTGGGTCTATTTTGGTCACATAATGGATAAATATAAATATTCAAGCTGGGCAAGGCTGGCCAGGCACGACTCAAAAATTGTTCATGCCTATCATGCCTTGCCCGTGGGCCTCAAAGTGTTGGATGAACCTGGCAGAATTGAGGCCCAGCATGGGTGGAAGACCCAATTATATGTCGCATAAATGTATGGATTTTCTTGGGGTAAGCATGCCTTCATAGCGTCTAGACCATCCTTTCAAATGAAATAGAGCAGAAAACCAAAGTTTTATCCATAAATATAGCAATACTGTAATATATTCAATCCTTTTTTCCTTTGTTTCATCTAATTGTTCATTATCATGAAAAAACTAAGGTGGGTCCGGGTGAAATTGACGTATTCGAAGAAACTGCAGTTTCCTCCAAAACACTAGTCACTATTTTAATAACAGCATCAAGCCACAAGCACACATCATAAAACTAAAATTTAATCATAATATGAAGACTTCTGTGAACCAGTTCAACTCTTCCCTTTGTTTTCTTCTCTTTTAAGCAATAAATTGAATGTAAAACATTTATATGCATCGGTGAAAATGAGGCAAGTCCAGTCATTGGGATGCTTTGACTTCGGAGAGGAGTTCATCACTGTGAGGTCCCAAAGGAGTCATTGGAAGTGATACAGTGTGCATCACTTCTCCATTAAATCCATCCATAAAGATGTTTTCAAGGAGGGGAAAAAGACTAAGGAGCCTGAGCCCCACCCGAGGTCCTCTTCTTTTGTTGGTTGATTATTCTTCATTAGACTTACAAAAGAACTTAACTCCAAAGAGAGAGCAGACTGTCAACCTCGGCATGTTGGATGTGGAAGTTCAATGTTAACCTGATCAAGGCCCCTTGGCTTTTGTTACAGTTGATAAATGATCTTAGGATTGCATGAAACTTGGAGAGGACTCTAGGATGATAGGATCATGCGAACAAATACAAGTGTGACACAATTTTTCAATATCCATGTGAAATGTATTTTGATATTTGAAGTTCTCTACAGCCCATTGTGTGATCGCCAGACACCAATGAAGCTGAAGGAAAGTCCTATCAGACAACTGTAAGACCAGCTTTGCTTTATGGGGCGAAACCAGCTTTGCTTTATGAGTAAAAGTTGGGCGGTTAAGAAACAACATACCTATATGATGGTGTAGCTGAGATGAGGATGTTGAGATGGATGAGTGGCACAACAATAAGGAATAGAATTCGAAATGAATACATTCAAGAGAATTTAGATGTGGCTCCAATAGGCTATAAGATGACAGAAAATAAACTCAGGCGAGCTTGCCATGTATAGTGCAGATCCAATACAGTATCTGTTAGACGGTGCGAGTTGGTTCAAGTGAAAGCCTAAAAAATGGTAAGGGATAGGCCCAAAAGATACAGTTGAAGGTAGTGAGAAAAGATATTGGAACATAAAGCCTCACTGGGGGGATAGCCTTGATAGAGCAGAATAACGGACCAGGATTCACATAGCCGACCCCAAATAGTTGGGAAAGAGCTCTGATGATGATGAAGTTTTCTATAGCCCATTGTGTCATAAAGATAGATGAGCATAGTGAAAGTTTCCAATTTCAAGCTGTAATGTCCTTAGCAGCAATACAGGCAAAACAAAAAATAAAAGGGGAATTTATGAAATTACACCTTGGATGTGATCTAATTAACATCTTAACCATATTTTTTGATAAATTTTCAAATTAACCATCATTCTTTGGATAAAATTTCAAACAGCCCGTCAAATAACACACCAAAATGGGTTCTGAAATTTATCAAGTTACACCTAAGGAAAAATGTTAAATAGTTCAAAGTTTATGCATTTTGATAAATTTGCCAAAATAAAATAATACAATCAACATCAGCCAAGGCAAAAAAGAAGGTACTGTAATATCTTTATATTACCTCCAAACTGATGTAGAACAATGGAAGCTGCTACAGTGACATTCAAAGAAGCAGTGCCACATCCATACTGAGGAATATAAACGAAGAAATCACATATTTCACACTCCTTGGTGAGAGGCCAGTTCCCTGTTGAGTATAAATGTCCAAAGTAAGTGATTATGGAGCGGTAAGTGAGAGAGGATGGTGGTTGGCAATGTTACTGTAGTCTTGTCCTTTAGGCCATTGCTTGTGCCTTGGAGAGAGAGAGAGAGATTGGGAAAAAGGATAATTTTTTGAGATGGATTATTTCAATCATTGTAAAATAGAGGGCAGCTTTGTAAATATTTTACAACCATTAACCTTTCTTGACTTCTGACTTCATACATTTTGTCGCAAATTAATAATATCATTCAACAGAAAAAGCAAAAAAAGAGAGAGACTGAATAGATTAAAATAAATGAACTATAATGAACTATTGACCTATATCTTGAGTTATATATGAAGGATGACACTACTTGTGCTTAATAAAGAACGGTGAGAACTTAAACATACTCATGGTTCATGTCATATAACAGTGGTTGGCATAGTTTCGCTCACCGGATTAGTTTGCTGCACTCAAGAGGTGTCCTAGAAAATCTCTTTACTAATAAACTATCAAACAAATATATAATCGTATATCCGATTCCTTAACTTGTGTTGCAATATTAGCAAAGAAACGATGAACCTTACCACGAGAAAGTGATCTGCTAGTAGCACTATGTTCATGAGAGGGCGAACAATGAAAAGGAAATTTAAAATGTTTGAAGAGGTTCGAGTCTCAATTAATACATATTAGTACTCAGTATATGGCGTAACAATTTAGTGATAACAAAACCTGACTCAAATTTACTGGTCATTTTGCAGGGTTTTCAAGGGAGTTGAACAGCATCTCATTCACAAAACAGTTTCTCCTATCCCTAGACCCTTATTAATGTCTTTGAAAGCATCATTTTCGAATTTCTCATCAGTTACTTCTAAAGCTGTGCAATCATTAGGGTTTAAATATTAGATCACGTTATAAGCAAGTGCTTGACTCCTTGACCGAGATCATAAAAACTTTCACTCGGAGAGCAAGGACTCCATTAGCATTCCAAAGAAACTGATAGCTCTTCTTGAACCTCAGAGAATAAATACTACCAATGATGAGGATTTGGCAAGTGGAGATCTAGTATAAGAAGTGTTTACTGGAAACTTTCCAAGTTGGAGTATTGCCAAATTATTTTCCAAAACCTAGGCAATCCAGCTACATATGCACTACCAGAGATCCTTTTGCACATAAAGCCATGAATACTCCAAATAGATCTGTAATCACCTCCTAAATGCAGGGCATCACACGCATGCCAGAAAATTTGAGAATCTATTGCCTAAACATTTATATATATTCGACTTTCTAATAACATCTAATAATAAAAAATAAATCTCTAATAACATCAAAACACTTGGTAAGAGACGTATCCATATTAAAAATGTGAATTTCATAAACATTTCCTTGTTTTACAAAAGGTAACCATGAAATAGAACACAAACCATCATCATCATCATTTGAGCCTTATTCCAATTATTTGGGGTCGGTGAAATAGAATACAAACCATTTCTTTTTTTTTTTGAGAATGAATAAAAACCATTTCTTTTAAGGGATTGCATACCATGAGACTATTATTTTTGGTACAAGGAGGTCACAATCACTTTTAGCCATTAGATGTGAAATCCAATAGATGAAAGTGTCTCACAACATTTGAGAAAATTTATTTTAGACTTGTGCCCAAACAATGACACATCTTCAGCCACGCGATTTCAAATCTAGCAATTTATGATAATTGTGACCTGCCTATATCAAAAGTAAATGATCTCATTGTATACATTTCCTTCTTTGATCTCCATACAAGAACACAGATTTCAGCAAACCAAGAAACAGCACAACACTAGCAAACCGAATAGCGTAGATTATCCAATAATATATTACCCCACTTCTCTTTAAGAAATAACAATGTGACTTTTGAAAGCTAAGTGAATATATTATATCCATAGTCATTGTAACACGAGAACATGAAATGCAACGCCAATGACATTTGCAGGGAATGAGAACTATGAAAATTTCAGCAATAAAAGGAAGCATCACCTCATTACCGAGTAAAAATGCAGTACTCTTCTTAAAAGGTTGATGATTCACAGGGATAGCTCCATCAACAATCTCCACACCACAAATATCACAATCCTTTTCCTAATTCAAACACAGAAATTCACGTAAAATTGAGTTTGAAAGAGTAGTTCAGGAAATACAATAAAAATCCAATAACGTGAGCACATAATCCCTAGCATTTAGAAACTCGCGAATTAATATAGTTTTTAAATAGAACATCCAGTTTATTATCAAATTTCTGTGAATAATATCCACTCAACTTATCTTAGGGGTTTAATTGCTGGGCTTAGAGCATGAGGCCCAAAGCACTTCAACTTTGTGTTTCAATTGTTGCTTGAAACCCAAAACAAACACAAGTGAAATAGGGATATACCCTTAACCTCTGAAGTATAACTATAGTTGCTAATACCTTCCTTCTCAACCTCCAAGTTGATAAACCACACTTTTTAAAGATTATTTGCTAAACGTCTTGAAAACTTGGACGGACTGGGAGAGACTCGGCTAGCCCGGTTCACACTCATATCATCCAAGCCGGGCTCATCTGGAACCAGCAGGGTGCTCGCTCCAAATAACTCAGGTCAGTCCGAGTCCTTCTCACCCGAAAGTTTTTAAACACTTCAAGTGATTATATCACAATTAAAGCCTAGTTCTTAAACACAGCAGTATGAAATATATACACAATGCCTTTTCTGGTTATAACAACATTAGAGTGTAAAACAAGTTTAGGTGCCTTTATTGCTCATTAGAAGCTCAGGGTTTGAGACACAAAGAGAGAAGAAACAGAAGGAAAGTACCTCAACTAATTTTTTTTTAAAAAAGGCTAAAAAAAGCTTTATGAATACACTCCATAAAATACCAAAAAAAGAAGAAGATAATAAAGTTAAGGGGGCTCTCTAGGCTTTGATTATTTTTTGAAGAAAACATTTATTGGCAAGGTGTTTCAGAAAAAAAAAAAAAAAATACTTTTCATCTATTACTCATAAATTTGTGCAAAAAAAATGGAACAAAACAATTATTTCCTCGACTACATTATTGCTGTTTAATTCATGAGTTCTATAATCCACGTAAAAAACATTAAACCAGATAAAGGACGACGTCCAAAATACAGAAAAAAGAAGAAGAAAAGGAACACAAAACTCAGTAAATTCAACAAGCACATAAATTCCAGGAAAAACTGCAAATTTGAATAATTTCTGTTATGGACAATTGTGGACAATTTCTCAATAGCTTCAGAAAATAAAAAATGGAAAACAGTAATAACGATGAGATCCAGTTTTAATGAATAAAAAAGAGCTCTTACGAATAGATACAATCAAATCAAATTAGGTCACCTTGAAAGATTGAATCAAAAGAGTTCAAAATGCAAGAAATTTAGAGAAATAAGAGAGAGAGAGAAGGGGGTAAAGTACCTTGAGGTAAAGGCGAGTTTCAGAGAGAGAATGGAATTGGCGAAAATGGAGGTAAGGAGTGGATCCATGGCTCCCAAATGAGTTGAAGTCTCTTCTTCCAACGAGTATGAACTCTGCAACACCAAAGGCAGTGGCGCTACGCGCCATGGTCCCAATATTGTGGCGCTTGGCCACGTTGTGGACCACCACATAGCTCTCCACCATGTCCACCTTCTCTCTCACCCTCACTCTAAAACAGCAGGGGGAGGGAGTCTCCCCGAACCAGGAGGAGGTTCGGATCAGTGACGCAGTGACAGTGGCCAATCTCCCTTCATCCCTCTCTCTCTCTACAACTGTGTTATTATCCTCTCTCTCTCTCTCTCCACGAAAGTGTTATTTTTTCTCTCTCTCAACGAGAGTTGTTTTTCTCCACAAACATTGGTGCTCAACAAAGGTACACGCCTCTCTCTCTCTACAAAATTTGTCTTTAACAAAGGAATACACCCTCTCTCTCCTAAAATGAAAATTTTATTAGCCAACTAATTTTATGCTCATGCCGGGTCTATTTACTCTCTAGGGTAAAATTACTAAAATCCAATCCAGAAGTAATGGGGAAGACCTCAAATTTTTTAAATGTAACCTATTTCACTCATACATAAACTTTAATAGAAAAAAACTCCCAAATAGCATTTTAGGAGTTGAAAAAAGAAGGTCTTAAGATTGAATAGAGATCGTCAAATGTTTTTTATAGTGAGATCTAAGTGTTAGAACACTTAAAATATCAAAAATTCTCTTTGGAAAATGACCATCTAGTTATTTTTAGGTGGATTCCAAATTTTCGGATTGAAAAACATCCTTTCAAGCAGGTTGTATGGTCGAGGGAGTAGATGTGCAGCTATGCCCTAGCAAGAGCATAGTATAGGCGCAAATCAAAATGTAATACTTTTGCAAATGGTAAAAGTGTATATAAGGTTGCAACCATGTACTGTTGAAGTTAGGTGAACCACAAAAATCTTACAGTAGAGAGTGTTTCGGCGTTGGAGAAACTTTCAACAGATCATCTCGACTTTGAGATGAATGGACATGAAGGAAAACAAGAATTTCAAGTTAAAAAAAAGGTGCATCTTGTAACAAGTTATTTGGACCATCTATATTTAAAATTTTCAAGTGTTTCTTGATCGGCTTGATCTGTACCATTTTATAAATTTTAAAATTTATAACTACGGATCATAAAGTTTTCGACACCAAAACAACATTTCTAAGTAAATTTTATAGGTATGCCTTACTTCTACAGTATAAGGAGGCAACCTTATAGAAACCTTACCCTTGCAAATTGATCGTTCCTATGAGTCAGCCAACTCATATGTACATGTATGGCAGCGGTCCCACTCTAAAATCCACCTTACGATGAATTTTTCATCCAAAATTATAACGAGTCATGATCTAGGGCAAGTTGACCATAAATATGAATATGAATATCAAATAAAAATAAACAAAGCGGTTTTTATTTTGGAAGAGTGCTTTATGCCTTGGGTGTGTGAGAATCCCGCGGCATCACGCAGCCATCTTAAGATGGTTTCAGCGTGGTGGTCCTCCAAAAAAGATAAAAAAAATAACTTTTAAATTTTTATTCAGAAATAATCAATTTTAGTTTCAAAATTTTATTTTTTACATATTAATGATCTCCATATCAGAAGTTATATATACCTCAAATATTAACTCCAGAATCCATCTAAAAAAATGATCATAAAGAAGTGATGCATATCTACACGAGTCCAAGCATTCATAAAAACCATGTTCTTTTACTTTAAGGATGTTCTATTATTTCTTCGAAAACCAGCGTAATTCCAAATAATTCTCGATTTGAATGAGTGAGTCTTGATCTAAACCTTCAAAATTTAAATCACTGCTCTTTTGCAATCTTCTCCTCACTTGGAAAACGAAGAAGACGAGAGGAATACTCTCTTCTTATTTTTTTTTGTTGGAATGCTAACAAGAGTTTTTATTGAGATTACGAGCGTCACAATTACAACAAAAAGTAAGAAATAAAAAACATTTTTGTTATGGAACCCTAATTTCTCGTATCATTTCATGGTAGACCCTCTTTCCGTTTTTCTCTCAAGCGGCATAAAAAAACTCCTAAAGATTTCATCATACGCACTCATCTCCTATCTCTCAGTTTTATTGACTTTTGATCATAAACCTTAGCCACAACAAATTTTTTTTATACAATTTCAACCCAAAAACTTTTTTAATGGGTGAAGAGAAAAAAAAATGGTTAAAAAAGTTTTTGGGATGAAATGCTATAAAATGATTTGTTGGGACTAATTTTTATGGTAAAAAAGGAGATAAGAGAAATCCTTATGGATTTTCGTACGCCGTTTGAAAGAAAAACGGAAAGATGGCCTACCATGAAATAATGCGAAGAAGTAAGATTTTATACGAAATTTTTCCAAAAATTATTATAAAAAGGAAAAGAGCAAGAAGCAAAAAAAGAAGAATAAGGTTATTGCGTCACCGCAGTTTGGGCAATGCATCTGCTTCACTATTACATTCTCTATTGATATCACGTAGCACCACTTGCAGAGCAAATGGCATCTCATCCATGAACTGACTCCACATCCAAGGGGTTCTACTCGGTTCTTTACAACATTCGATATCATGAATGGAATCTCTCTCTATCACTACTCTATCATAATTTTCCTCCATTTTGGCACTCCAAAATTGACTGCTGTCTCATTAACTGAGCATGAATGCAATCTGCCTAATAAGTCCATAGGATTTCTCCATTATGATTTCACAAGAGTCCTCCATACCCTGCTATTTGGCCGTCCTCCCTCACTCTTCTATCAAAGTTTAGCTTCACCCATTCATCTCTTTAAGATTTTTTATGATAGAAAAAACAGTATATAAGGGTGCAATCAAATAAAGGTGCACCTTAAAGATTCACTAGAAGCAATTGTTTCGATGTTAAAAAAAACCTCAATTCGTTCATCTCGACCTCAAGATATATGGACATGAGAAAATATATATTGGAACTCTTGAAAACAATGCATCTTATAATATATTATCTAGACCGTCGATTTTCAAGATTTTCAAATGTTCATAGATGTGCTCAATCTATGTTAATTTTATATCTTTAAATTTTATAATTAGATATAAGAATAAATTTTAAGGCCATCATAAAAATTTATGATACTAAAACAACATATACAAACCTCAGCCTTTTAAACTATACTAAAAAAAAAAAAAAAATTATTCGTATACAGATAGTGAAAATAAGGAAGAAAAACAAGAGGGATCCATCTTTATGTCTCTCTCCTAGAGAGAATATAATAATAAAAACGTCGACAGCAGGGTTCGAACCTGCGCGGGCGAAGCCCAACAGATTTCAAGTCTGTCTCCTTAACCACTCGGACATATCGACAATGGTTGCGGTATCACCAAATAAAAATTTTATTTATTATGTATAACTACTTAAGTGCCAGACATCATTTCAATTATCCGGAGCCATCACTTGTTAAATGACGCCTAATGGACTACTAAGGTTACATCATGAACCGTAGGGTGCGGTTTGTATAGAATCTAGGCTCTAAACAATCAAATTAGAGCCTGCCTTTAAAAAGTGTCACGAAAAATAGTTTCAATACTGAAAATCTTTGTGATAACTTTAAAATATATTTTTATATTTATTTATAAAATCTAAAGCTTCAAAAATAGTGTAGATCGACATATTTATAAAAACTTGAAAATTGACGGTTTAAAAATACGTTACAAAATTCATTATTTCCACAAGTTGAAATCCATTTTTTTCTCATGTCCATGTATCTTGATATCGAGATAATGAATATGAGGATATTTGAGCATCAAAACAACCTTTTCTAGTGAAATTTTTGAGGTAGCCTCTTATTTCATTGTTTGAAGCTTCGGTTCTATATAAACTTTTCCCTTAACCGTATTCAAACTCTAAGAAGATATTTTTTTTTTTTTCCAGTGCTATTGAGCTTGAGAAAATTATTCTCAAACCTCAGAAAATGCAATCATCCCTACCGTCAAATCAAATCCTAACAGATTTGAGGTGTGTCTCCTTAACCATCGGGCTAAGAACGGGTCAGATCGGGTCCAAATCTATCGGGATTTAGATATGGATCTGGATCGGATCCAAAATAAAAAATTAATTTATATATTATTTTATATCTTTAAAATAATATATTTAGATCCAAATTTTAGATCTAGATCTGAGCTATTGGATCCAAATCTTAAATTCATACCTAGATCTAGATACGGTCTGAAATTCAGATTTCATATCCAAATTGAGTAAATTCTCAGCCCTACTTAACCACTTGGCCATATCAACATTTCATATAAGCTTGATGCAATAAAAATTTATATATACTGTTAACTTTTTTTCATATTCACCTCTTTCCCCATTTGCAAAGGTACATAATGAGATGATTTTTTATTGCAATCATCGCTACCCGTAACATATCAAGTTTGTTGCCTACACGTAAACGCTTGACTGCATTCGAAGTTTGAGAAAATTTTCCCCGAAGGAACGCAATCATTCTTACCCTTCAAATGTCAAATTGGGTGGCTAAAAACGTGCCAATGACTATACTTGAAGTCTAAAAAATCTTCCTTCAAATGCTTTGTAAAATTATGACACCCCAGCCATAGATTTTTTAATGGTCTCGAAGTGAGGTTTCCTCTACAAAGTCTTGGATTTTTTAATCATGGATATAGAGGTTTTTTTATCATGTTTAAGGGATTTGACATATTCTCATTGAAGGTATATCTTTTAATAGAGTAGAATGGCGAATCAGGATTCGTATAGCTGACCCTAATTACTTGAAAAAAGATTTTGAAGACGATAATGATGACAGGATTTGGCATATGAGATTGTTTTTTGATGTATTTAGATGTCCCTAGGATTTTCAAACTATACTTTCCTCTTGAAATTGGTAATTTAGAGATTGCTTACATGGTTGGAGATTTGGAAGTATGGTTTTCCGGTGGATTGTATGCAATAAGAATGTTTTCTCTCTCCAGATGTCACCAACACCTCAAGTTGTGAGATATAAAATTGGAATAATGGGGCTACTTCATTTCTCTGCACAAAGTATGAGGATATTTTTCTCGTACATTGAGAATGGTCAATGATATGCCATTAGCTACTGAATTTATCATTTGACAGGTAGGAAGATTATGACATTTATGAATTGAAGATGAATGATCTTATTATATAGGACAGTAATAAAACCAGCTTTGCTCTATGAGGTAGAATGTTGCACGGACAAAAAATAATATATCCATAGAATAAGTGTAGTGGAGATGAGGATATTGAGATAGATGAGTGACAAGAAAAAAAAAGATAGAGTTCGAAATGAATTCATTCAGGAAA